GTGATGAAAGAATAGAAAAAATAGAAGTGTATCCTAGCTCAACAGAAAATACACAGTATTTTCTGTTTCGTTATGGAAGTATTTGCCAAGGTCAACAGGTCATATTCCGGTCAACCGGACCTTTCTAGGCTTTGAGGAAGGCGAAATCCACCTCTTGTCAAAAAGAATGTAAACAGCTATTTGATCAATACCAGAGCTAATAGAAAGTCGGTTGTTGGAACTACATATTAAAAAGTGAAAACTAACAACTACGCATCTACAACCATTTGATCAGTCTCGATCATTAACAACCACATAATTTTCGGTGGCTAGAGAACTTAAGTAGATGAAAACCTATGCGACCAATGTGTTGATGCAATCCATACAGCATTCCTACTTTAACAGGGACGCCTTCCTTTCCGGCGCTACGCTCTAGTGCTTAAGTTTTCCTGAAATTAATATTACGAAGAACTTTGATACAACTTGAATGAAGCCGAGATATTTGCAAAACACCTGACTGCAGGTGTCTGCGGTGAGGAAGGAACCCCTCTTTCCGGCGCTGACGCGTTCACCACCACAGAATGCGGGCACACCTCGTTTAGCCCTTCCTTCAACTAGTTCTCTATCTACCGATGTCACCAGCAATCACCCGTCATCGGTATTGGTCTGGCAAGCCCAAAACGGGAACGAACCCAGTTAAGCTGAGGGTGAAGTTATTATCACAATTTTAACTTATTATTTACTACCTACTCTTTTTTATGGCAGGGTTTCTTGCCAATGGAGTAGCCACGGATCTCCATCATATGAGGGATCTCGAGTCGGTTAGTCGCGAGACTACGTGGCGCGTCCCCAGGCGGCGGATAGGGGGTTGAAAATGCAAGGAATGAAAGAGCAAGGTGTGCGGCTGCCTGAGTTTGTCATAACGACCAAAACCATCCATGGTAACTCGCAATTCCAGAAGCCGCAGCCTCAACGCTGGACGTGTGAGTCTCCCAATGGAGAGTGCCATAACGAAATAGACCACATCATAGCAAATAGAAAGTTTTGCCTAGCCGATGTCGCTGTAGTTCTAAAATTCTACATGAGATCACACCATCGCCTCCTTCGTGCAAGATTCTATTTCTCGCGAAAAGCAGAAAAAGCCGCTAAATTCCAAAACCGAAGTCGCAGAACCAACGCAAACTAGGACTTATTCAATTCATTAGTCGGCTGTTGGGAAGATGCCGTTGTCGATAACATCGACGAAGAATACGATCTGCTCACTCAACATCTTCATGTTAACGGTATGAAAGCTGAGAGTTCGAAAGTAACCAAGAGATGTCTGTCTCCAGAAACATTCGAGCTAATACGCCAGCGTGGAATCGCACGAGCTGCTGGCAACCGCGAACTAACGCCCGAACTTGCAAAACGAGACAGACCGGCGATAAAAGATCTTAAAGAAGAGAGCAGCAGTAATGGTCGAAGTTGCAAAGGCTGGGAAAAGCATTCGCAAAGTCCACTAATGCTTCGCCAATTACAACACCAGAATCATTCCACTCCGACGCCCAAACGGAACAGTTACAACGTCCAGAGAGGTAATGGGAAAGATCATTCACGAATACTTCTCATATCTCTTCGATAGCCGCGTCCACCTTCCGTCATTTAAAAAAGGAGGATGGATATGTTGTACTACCGGTTCTCTCTTCCGAAATCCTACATGCCATTTCGTCAGTGAAAAATCGAACAACACCAGGTCCGGACAGGATAAGATCAGAACACCTGGAGAACCTTCCGCCAGTCCTCGTAAACACATTGGCTCGA